TTGTAACACTTAAACGCGGTCAAGTGGGCAGACGTGTGAAGCAAATATCTCAAACGCTGATTTCGCCGCGTCGCGCAAATGGCGCAGAACCGGTGAAACGCGAAGGCGAATCAACCCGACGGATTGTCTGATGCACCAAACCGAAGTTAGTTAGAAAAATATATGGCACACACTTTTAATTTCTCACGTTTGTCCAGCTATCGGTTAGGCTACCTGGATGAGCACTCCGAGATCATCGTAACCGGTGGCTAGAAACGCTGAGTGATATGGCTGGGTATCGCAAACAGTGGCGCTCGTGTATCTACTCATTATTCTTGCAACCCCAGTCTCTTTGAATTCTCTATCTTCTCCTTGACCCTGCTCTCAGCCTTCCCATCTTCATTCTACTCTTTTATCCAAGCGGGAAGTCAAAAGACAGCAACCGGAACCGCCGCACGAAAATGCGCGGTTATTCGTTGTAAAAACTGAAACTGAAATCTATCGATTAAAACCACAATCTCTCACATTGCATTATGGTATAAATGCGTTTTTCAATCGGTCCTGTATACTGAGTTGTAAACTGAGCTCAACTTGAATTTATTGACCACGAATCCAGCCTACACTAGTCTTTATATGTTCGAACATTTCCTATTTTCTCTCTCTCCGTCACAGACATGAGTCATGCTTTCATGGACCGATCGATGCCCAAAGCTTCAGCTAACCCCCTCCCCCCCCTGTTCGTCTACGGGAAACAGAAAAAGAGGGTGGTGAAAAGTGACTCATTTAAACAAAAGCACTTCCCTAGGGGGTTGGGGAGGTGATGAACGGATAGTATCGACCGGTACATGTGAGAACCATACATACATATATGGGTTTGTGGGTTTGGTTGAGTGGCCGGCACAAATGAGACTTCGTCCGCACACTTCGGAGCCATTCCAGAGGAGCATAGAAAGATGACTAACGGAAGAACAAAGCGAGTTTTCCGTTTTGATGACTAACGAAAAGAAACAGTATTTCCTTACCTTCCGTGGAAAATGATTCAAGTGGATACAAATCATCACAATTCAGTGATTGTTGCTCCAATCATTCAAATTATATAGTGGATTTTCCGTATTCAAATCAAACAAAGCGTGAACTGAAAATCTAGGAAGCACTCGACAGCTATTTCGATCTGATTGAGTCCCATCAGCAATGCGAACCTCTGGGCCCAATTGGAGATCTAAACCGGGACCTTACACGATACTGCACAACTCATGCTTGCGCGTTTGTTGTAAGCATCCTGCCCCGGTCATCTCATCAACCGCTTCCGAATGACACAAAGTGGATCGCTGTTGATGAACGATGAAAAAAATTAATGTCTTTTTACTTCCTTTGTTATTTATTGATTATAAAAATGTACAACCACCTTTCAGTAAGGGGACTGCAGTCATACAAGACTGCCTGGGGAAATACAGAAATGAAGAAGACGGGTAGTGGTGGAGCGGTGCTAACCCGGGACTTCCAGGTCACAACTTGATGACCTAACACCACTTGGCCACCACCGACCACTGACTCAGTAATTAATCATCGGAATTATGCATCCAACTTACTCGGGCATATGGCCTCCACCAGTTAGCATGTAAGCTGACTGCCACAACAGGTTTTCCTTAGTACTCACCGGAGTCCGCCGAATGAGCTTATAAGGCAAGGTTAATTGTTCAAATTGTCGTTTGGCAGATTTGAACCTGTGCCCGAGTAAGTTGGATGGATAATCCTTCTTGTCTTCCATTGATTAGATCGGCCCTGAATTCTCCAACCCAAATAGTCTATTGGGACCATGATAACCGTATCCCTTAATCGGGGATTTCATACTTCGATGCTACACCGTAATCCGACCGTAATTGGCTTTTAATTCAACTACTATTGTGACATAACTGCTGGCACTTGGCTCAACCACCCCTACCTGGGAGCGCCAAGTAGTTTCATTCATTCATGGTCGTGAATAATTATTCCTCTAGTTGTTCGATCATAATCCTGTAATACGAATACTAGTTGTTTGCGTTTATCTTCTACCCGTTATCGTCTTCTCGTTGCACAATCTAGCAACACTGACTACATTGCTCCAATAACCCCTTCCACAGAGAACCAGCCAGATGTCGATTAGGGAACCAAATATGTTTCAAGATCACAAACACCAGGTTATCCTTTTGTCTGGGATTTGATCTACTCTAGGAACATAAAGACAGTATCACTTGTCAATAGTTTGCGACGAAACCCTGGCGTCAAGCCTCCCCACTTTCCGTCACATGTTAAATCCAGACGACAGTGGCTTAACACCGATGAATTCAGTTTTATCGAGCGGAACTATCTTCTAATCACAGTTGACCTGGCTATTCACTTAAACACGAAACCCATACAGTCTCTGCTCCGGGATTAATACAAGCTAGTGGAGAGCTCCATGCTAGGCCTCTCAGTACTTTTTAATGATATATATATATATATATTATATATACATAAAGAACTACAGGATCAGTTGTGTTCGTTCACGCCCTAGCTGTTGCTCTGGTTGCAGTGTATTAAAAACAAATGGCCAATCCTGTAAAATCAGAGAAATCCACTTCGAGTACGTTTTCAACATGCATTTCACTGATACACTCTCTTTGTGTTGATGAGGAAGCGTACTAGAAAAGGAGCAGGTGGTGACTTGATTCGTTTATATCGGTTAAGATGTGTCTATATTCAGAGTTTGGGGAATAATGAAAAATATAGTATATTCGTTCGAAAAATTGTGGACGGAGTTCGGAAGAATCCTGTTTCAGCTGACGGTTCATATGGTCTGAATTCATGTGTGATCGATATTTGTCAGTCTACGGAGTAATATTTTTAAAATCCCGCTTGAGGTGGGAACCGACTTAAACAAGTTAATTCTTATTGATGGATAGAAGTGGAACCAACTGGATATAAGGTGCAAAAAGTACCTGAGCGTTGAAGTTCCAATAACAGACACCACACATTTGAGACACGCTTGAGACTTTAAGGTGACCAGCGAGGTTGGTCTTTTGGTTTAAATCCCATATATTTCAAAGGGGAGATTCGTCGTGTATATAGCAAATGAAGCGTGAACTGAAAAGCTAGAAACCACTGAACGTTGCTTTGACCTGGCTGGATCTCATCAACACAGTACGAATCCATTGACCCAAATGGGGATCGCAAACACGGAACCTCACAGGTAGAACGTAAGTACGTAACCCACTCGGACATCGGGCAGCCGATCAGACCGTTTTTCATTTTCCATTTACATGGTATAGCATAACCCATCTTTACGAGTTTATTGCGGGCTACAGACTTCGCTCATCTCACCACTAACCTACGGGGTTATGACTCAGTTGGAAACAATCCCACATATTTGCTGGTGTTCGCTTTATGCCACTGATCGTCACTAATGACCACATGATAATGCAAGGTTAGAATATGGAAAACCGCAGGTAGTGGCACAGATGCAATTAAGAAGCGAAAAGTTGAACATGGAACTGATTTTTCGTAAAGAAGATTAAGTTGCTGGTTGTAACACAGGGTGCTTCACCACTGATACCAATAAAGTATGTGGAGAAAGCCGCCATTTCAAGTATTCCATAGATGTTTGATGCTTTTTGACCCTTCAAGAAAGTAATTAGCTAACTACATGAATACATTTCTTGGGCCTCGAAAAATTCCACTTTACGGAATGGCATCAATCGAGGAACAGTCAATACAAATACATCGAGATAACGTTTCAGTGTCAATCAAAGGTGCGGAGCTCAAGTGAGCGAGGATAGCAATTTCGTCCAGCATAGTGCATATCCCTGGTCTGTGGTCAAAATGCAAGCCTGGCTTTGTTACCTAATGGCTCTTCAAGAGTCAATACTATTGTATACTATTTCGATCAATAAAACGTTGTACACTAATCCGGATCAATTCGCCTGGTAACAGCAATCTACAAATGACCTCACAGACACCTAACCTTTCGTAATTTGCCCAACCTCGATGTATTCTTGGCTTCATACGGTTTGACAAATCCGGAAAGCTTTGTGTGTTGATTTCTCAGTTAGAAATAGACTACTCCTCGTGCATCCGCTGCTTCAAGGAAGATGTTTTGGAAGTGGTGATCTACCCGGGCTGCTTGATGCTCGCGGACGGAGTGAACAGTTGAAGCTAATGGGATCCCTGCTGTGACAATTTCTTCTACAATGCGCCTCCACATGAGCCTCAACGAGCATTTTTCTTCTAGTTCTGTTTATTGTGACACTTAGCTACTGACCGGGGTTGCTGGTATACAAAGCAATTGATGCTGTGATAAGAGAGCAACTGGACCAGGCAAGTAGACATATGTACGTACCTGAGAGGGAACTACGCTTGAAGTTGTCTAGACGCTTGTCTAACCTCGTAGCCCAGGCGCGTGTGTGCGCCACGTGACTGCTATCGTTTTGGTGATGCCAATAGATGATTGATCCGCCACGATACCACCGTCGCTGTGCTTGCATGTTTGATTCATGCTTTTGACTGCCCCCCACATACACACAAATCGGCAGGCGTCACCGATTCTTGCGCTTCTGCCAGTGTGCATGTGCGTTCGTGTGCTCCGGTATCGATACACGCACGCGTGCATACGTTGTTGTGTATGATGCTGGACCACGCCTACGTGGCGACCTACTGACCTGAGTGGTAGATACGCGGGACAACCAATTGGTGATGTGCGTTATTTGCATCCTGATTGGTTCACAATACTTCACGCTTACTGGTCCGTTTCGGATACACCGCTGGTGGCACACATGTTGGCCGTTTGACACGGGCTAGCGCCTAGTACAGTGAAGTGCCGTCAAGCAGATTGCAATTCGCTTTTTCCGTGCTTTCTCCGGAGGCTATCGTTTGGAATTTTCGAATGTGCCAACTAAGAGAATAGTTGCTGTGTGACACAGACTTATCCAAGTGGTTTTCCCCATTTGTCTGTGATCAATTGTGGGATTCTAGTGTACACAAACTCCACTCATCCATCCCCTGGTACAATGAGCAGTACCGATAGTCCAGTGTCGGCCACGGCGTCGGAAAATGTCATTCGGCAACAATCGGAAGAAAATCTGAATCACCAGTTGAATACACATACGGAATTTCGAGGCACCGGTAGTCTGATGGATTTGGATTCCTGTACTCGATCGCTGGCTGACAACTCATTTGTGCTTGAACCATCCGCTTTCACTTTGCCCAACAATCCATGTCGGCTGTTTCTTCCGAACCCGGAAGGTACTCATTCACTCCCGTTACCCCGAGGGAATGCAGCCAGTAAGATCAGCACACAGTCTGCCAGTGCAACAAATGAAAAGTCGGACGAGCGACTTCGGAAAACACATTCATCCATCTCACTCACTTCCATCCCCGATGGACCGTACAACGATATCTGGGCTGGTTCCATAACGTAGGTGATATTCAATTGTTAAAGTTCTTTCTGTGCTGAACTTTGCGATTCATGCTCTTGTCTATCGTGCACGTAGCATTTCGTCTGCATGGCCACTTTTTGAGTATACTGCCGAAATTGACTGTGCCGAGTGATGTTCAGAATCCTGATCGTATGTAGCGTTTAAGATCGGTTTTCTCGAAGGTGTTCGAATAATCTAAGTCACCGTCGTTCTGTGTCAGTTTATCAAACCATTAACTAGTATTTTCATGCGTTAATTCTAGTTGCTGCCATTTTTCTTCGGTTCATTAATGAGGAACGGTGTAAAAAGGAAGCCAAAACGATAAAAGGATGTAAGTAAACCATAGATATGCTTAGCTAGTGGCTAATCGAGGCACTAACGCCACGGCATACCGTCAGTGTCGAGTTGGTTGATCCTGAGGTTCCCAACCGGAATGCTTGAGGGCACTGTTATCTCTCCCCTAACCCGGGTCTGATAGTGTACATAGGGCGGTGGTGGCCAAGTAGTGTTAGGTCATCAAATTGTGACCTGGAAGTCCCGGGTTTGCACCGCTCCACCACTACCCGTCTTCCCCATTTCTGTATTTCCCCAGGCAGCCTTGTATGACCGCAGCCCTCTTCCTGCAAGTTGGCTTTGCCTTGTATTTTCAATAAATAACGAAGGAAGTAAAAAAGATAACAAAAGACATTCTTGGGCTTTGTGACCGTGCTGTGTAAACCCTTGACTGTTGATAGATGATCAGGAACATCCGATGCACATAGTTGGCGTTTGAACTGAGTTATCCAAATAACTGGGGGAAAAGCGACATGATTTTGAATGTTTTGAATTATTAACCGAAAATCAGCCGTCTGTATCCCCCCCCGCCGCCACGTTTCGGAATCGGTGCTCAGACCGACCTTGGGTACATATTGATGAGGATTACTGAACGCATGCTTGTCTGGATTATGAATTGGACAGTTGGGTTCCCTGTAGTTGAAAGCAGATTGAAACTGCCGACGCATGAATATTGAATCATAGAGAGGGGCCATTTAGTACAACTGAGCATATTATTCGTTGGCATTCGAGCAATTCAAATGTGAAAAGCGCGTGCATACTAGATCGTACGCCGCGTACTCACAGGATATGAGAGTGTGGATTGTGCTTTACTAACACGAATCGATGTACGTGCTCATCTGATTGGCGAAAACCACGAATGCTATTGCATAACGTTGCATAAGTGTGAAATATAATATTAATAATAATAACGTTGCGCAATCCGAGTCAGGAGGAATTGGAGTTACATATCCAAGTTCGAGAATCTCTCTGGCGAGGGGGATCGAGAGATGCGTACCCAGCACTTGTAATGATCATCACCTCACATCCTCATGTGGTTCTGTTTCAGCTGCCTAACCCGTACCTCTTCTTTCATTCACACTGACATGTTCGAACAATCTTTTTCCTGGGAGAACACATTTCAGCCCAGCATGCACTCCAGACAGATGTGTTCCTTACGGGTGGGAACAAACGCACACAGTCCGTGGTAGTAGTAGTTGATAACTCTGTTGTTTGTAACAATTTTATGATATTTGATTGCCTAATGGACATGATTGCAGCTGTCCTTGAGTCATCATTCTTACGGAAAGACAGACATCAATGATTCCCTTTTTGGTGGCATTCACCATGTGACTGTTTAGCGACACGATCATAGCTTCAGTTCACCATCCCTCACCCTCTCTCTCCTTCTGTGTGTCTGCGTTTTCGATTTTCAACTCATGTTGTTCGCTTTCCTTCATCTTTACTAAATTCCGACAAGTGTAATCGCTATTGCCCATCTTCCCTGTCGACTGTTAAGTGCATCTGTTCAGTGATTGGGAAAGTCCGTCATCTAAATGAATACCAGTACAGTCTAAACATGGTTGCTCCGATAACCGTTTATGGAATTACTCTTGACTGGATGCCTTGTGTCTACTGATCATAGTACCAGTTTATAGGTGAGATGCCCAGCTCAATACCATGCCTATGCTGTCGAGCTCGGATGTGGTTCGACACTCCAAGTCCTAGAGATTAGGTTGCCGGACCCGCTTGGAGAATAGCAGGTTCTCGTAATCATACGGTTCATCCCTTCTGTTGCTCATCGCGTGATAGTATGTTATAACGAAACAATAAGCGTAATAATTTTAGGCAATCAAAAACACAACAATAGCCAAACGATGAGTTAGACTTCCCTAATAACAGATTGCATTCAACTGATTTCGGGGTTTTTAAGTAATGTCTACCGGGATTTTGACAATCGTTTGCATCTAATACCTCTTGCAATACACCTCAGCGCGGCATCCATGATCATTTCGTGGGAAAACTTTCTGCGCACAAAAGGCTTCAAAAGAACCGTCAATTACTGGAGCATTCGATTTCAACCCCAGTGGGAGAATTTGGTGTAGAAACTAAGCCCTACATATGTGTGTGAAGTAAAACCGCGGTGTTTACTTTTTTCTATTGATAACGTTTCGACCCTCTTGGAACGCCTTCCAAGAGGGTCGAAACGTCATCAACCGAAAATTGTTGTTTTTGGTTTTCTCTCGTTGTGGCTAATCCAAACATTCCTATACGGACCTAATACTATGAGCACAACGCACAATTTCTTCAAAGACATCCGTTCCAACTTTGGATGTGATACCTTGAAAATTTACTTTTTTTCAATCAAAGCAATTATTCAGACGTTGTGAGGGGGAAATGGTCTTTGAATTCAAGGCGGTGTTGATTCGACACACCACTACGAAGTGAGAAATACTGATATTGGTGACAGTTGATCAGGGCTCAGTGTTTTTCACTATATTGCCTGAACGGGATTAGTTGCACGTCGTGAAGAGGTGATTACTGTCCTCCAAAAGGGTATGGACATTTGTGTCTGTGTGTGCAAGGTGAATAGACCTTTGTTCTGTCCAACTTGACTGATAATTCACGGAAGATTCCCATAGGAATATCAAAAGCCAAACAATATAGCGGACAAGCTTGTTTTCGTAACTTCGTCTTCAGGCCTTTACAGTTATGTGTTGGTGTTTATATCTAATGTAGAAATAAATGTGATTGGGCCATAGAGGTTAAGCATGAAAATGCCACAATGTCAATAATTGCCTTGTCGAGTTATTTTGCGCTTCAGCTGGTGGAATTTGCCAGACAATTCCATCCACGTATTCAATCGCTTGAGCTCTGTCCACACCATCCTTAGAAGTAGAATCCCTGAAAGTATTATTGTTCACGAAGAAGATAAGCTGTTTAAGTTTGGGTGTGCTCTCATCCGTTTAACTTCGTCCGAATATTCATGTTGTCGACAGTGAAAACAATAGATTGAGTATGTTGTCTTCTTTACTCTGCTTGGTTGCATTGTCAAAATTATGCATTGTTTTCGTTCTGAAACAGACACCTACTAACATTCTGTCTTTCACCAAACCCTGTGGTATTTCTGTGTGTGATTGGTGGGTATGTCAATTCGAAATCCTAGGAACTTAACACATACATACTGACCAAATGACTCAAGCTCGAGTGGTACAGGTTGCTACACCACCCTGATCTTTTACGAGCAGTTGTTGATCATAGGTAGTACCATTTTTTTGGCACACCAATGCCACAACTATTGGATTTAATTATGGTTCCTTGATTCGAATCCAAATGCGCGATCCAAGGGTCTTTTCAACTATTGTACTGTGGTCATGAATCTTTGCTCCCTCAATTCTGCATGTGATTTCTCTTTTGCTCTTTTACATTGGCGCAGTGAATTTCATGATGTGCACATGAAGAGACTAGGGTCTAACTTTATGAAAAAGCTACTTTGTTGTTTACGGAGCAAATGCAGCGAGAACTGAAAAGTTAGGAGACACTGGCCAGTTTTTCTTTACCTGGTTTGGTCTCATCAACCGTGCGAATCCGGAACCCGTTTCGGGTATCGTGCCTTGCTCATCTCAGCATAAACCTCCAGGGTGTGATGAATTTCACAGTATGATCAAACCAAATCCTCCCCCACTCCTGTGTAAAAATGCCGTTGATCAATTCATCTTGGAATCCACATGGTGAACATTAACTTTCCCCGTCTATGGAAAATTCAGTCTCGTTTGGCCTAATGTTTACAACCCATTGATGCTAACAAGTACTGACGGGGGGGGGGTATAATATACTCTGATCGTACGTTTTAGTTAGTCAGGTGGTTATTTGTCTCACCGTTCAATTCATGGTACTCGAATGAAAACTGAAAGAATCATATTAAGCGCCTGTTTAGTTTCATCTTCCTCTTTTTTATCACCAGCTTCTGTGGGCGATAATAAAAAGTAAAACGGGGCTTTTGCCACTCCAATACGTGCGTTATTCTAATGTCAGTTAGATCACGTTTTCACACTATTACGCATGGATCACAATTTCCGGTCAGATACATATTTTTATTCCCTCAACTTTCGGTAGCGTTTCTTGGCACAGAGAAGATTCAAGGCAAAAACTATAGTTTTCTATGAAGCACCCGTTTGCACCGACCAGTATGTTATTGAGCTATATTCTCTTCAGTACTTGTAAGCGGTACAAGTTTTTCGATTAAATGACCTCACCCAAGGTCGTTTCTATCCAAAGTGGCACTACACTCATCAACTGAGCTTGCTCGCGCATTGGTTTACTCAAGCACACTTGTTGGAGTTCACCAAAACAATGTATCATGCTTATAATCTATTACCCGCTCATTTGTATTCCAGTGCAAACCATTACCACCCGTCTCTATCGATCTGTAATTCGACTGACGCGGTCGGGTTGCACACTATCGTCGATACGATACATCTATGTCCTTCTAAATGAATAATTAAGCTAAATCATCTGATAGGTGAAAAAACAAACACATGCACGTTCGAAGACAGTATATGTTTGGTTATTTCAATAAAGAAGGAAGAAAATAAACCAATCCCGCTATTCACACAATGAAATCACTGTCCATTCCCACAAATAGAACGGTTGTACAAATCCTCTAGGTGTCCCAATCAGTAGTTTGTTCT